CCCCCGAACACACTGGTTCAGCGGCAGACACACACACTGGCTTGTGGGGTAGACACACACACTGCCCTCAGGTGCCGACACACACACTGCTTCGGGGGGCAGACACACACACTGGCTCGGTTGGGCACAGACCACACACATTGGCTCGGGACAGACCGACTGTTTTTTCTGTGTTGTTGTTGTTTTGTGTGTTGAGTTTTGATTAAGTTATATTAAAGTTTGCTTTTGGGTCCTTCTTTGCTTGACTCCAGCATCCATTACGGTACAATATTCGCTGATTTTTGGACCACATCACGCTTTTGATCGCGTCTCTTAGTGGCAGCGGGGGTATGTAGAGTTGAAGAAGACACAACCGGAAGCTTTTGTTGTTGAAAACTCTCATCAGAGATCGAAACCTTCACCCAGGTACTGCTCCAGACAGCTCCTCAGTCGTTGGTTCTCCTGTAACTGAAGCTCTTTCTCTCGCTTCAGACACAAACTGTCGAGCTTCACCTTGTTGTGACGCTGCCAAAACTTCTCAAAAGAAGCATTGTCATGTGTTAGCTGTGGGGAGAAATAGGACAAGGAGAGATAAGTCAAAAGACAACACACATTATATATTGAATTTAACAGATGACTAGAATAGTGCAAAAGAAATGCTAGGACACATCAAATCAAAGTAATGAAACTGCATGAAATATCTGAATTTTAACAAACCGGAGTGAGTTCCTCATCCGCCGACTTCATGGCATTGGCTTTCACCTGACTCAGCTCTTCTTCACTCAACGATGACTTGTAGAAGGGCAGAACCTTCTCGTACTTCGTCTCCATCTTATTGCACAGCTTAGAGTAACGCAATAACCTTTCCCCCTATGGAAGAGACAGAATGGGTGAGTGACTGGATATTGAGAGTATTGCTAAAATTAATTCACTTAGTTCCGGAATGACATAATCTCTACTTCCAATAAATATACAAAATGCATCCCTGTTGTCCCTGTTATAACAATGATTAGGGGTTTCTACCGCAGACAGCAACACAGTGTCGGCCCAGACCTGGCCCAAATCTGGTACGAGTTAAACCCACAAGTATCAGATGTGGCCCGGATCTGGGCAGTTGCTGTCTGGGACACCATTCCTATTTACCCGTCATTTCCCTCTGATTTGAGAAGTTATGGTTAGGGTTAGGTTTAGATTTAGAGGTTTTTGGACAGAAATGTTGTTGCAGGATCAACAAAACATAACTATTACTTGAAGGCATAAAGCACTTTGGAAAATTGTAAAAAAAAATTCATTAAAATATGAGTGTATATATTAAATGTGGGTGTAATCAACTTACCATAGCTGTTGTCTCCTGTAGTTTTTCAGTAATATTTTTGAACTGAATGACAGGTTTAGTGGCCAGATTTGTCCGAGTGGTTTGGATCTCCTTGATCTGGTCTCTGAAGCGTTGAATATCCTGGACGCGCTTGACACAGTCTGAACGAAGTTGAACTGTTTCTTGGCATTCACCAGACATCAGCTCACATTCCAGATCTGAGATGGACTCCTGCAAAAGTTTAAATTGCATTAAAATCGGCAAAATAATGAAATATCACAATTGGAAGAAAAATGATTGTCCAAATTAGACAGAAACAAATGAATTTTTGCCTAACCTCCAATTCCTGAATGCACTGTTTATCTACCTCCACCTCTTTAAACTCGAGAAGCAGAGAGTCATATTCTTCTTTCTTTTTTCGTATGAAACATCATTAAACTTCCAGAATTGAGATCTCGTCGGCTTGTATTCCCTCAGTTCTTCAATGACCTCTTTCATCTGTGTTTCCACTGTTTCATATTCGGCTTTGTGCTGCAGAAATAAAACAGACAACATATTATTAAGATTATGTTTTTGATTTATGATTATGTTTTATTTCCCCAACTGCTAACATCCTTTTGTCCAATCTGTAGTCACATTTCCAAAACTCTAAACTCTGTCTGGCCGACTTGGTCATTGTGCTCCCTTAGCTCAACTCCATTGGTGATCATTAAAGACTTTAAAGAGAAATAAATCTTTATTCTTCCAAACTTTTGATAAGTACTACTAGTGTACACTTGTAAACTCCTACATACATTTGTATATTTGTGTAATCAGTATTTTTGTAATCCATGATTTTATTTATATTTGAATTGCACTGCATATTTTAGGTTAATCCAATAATTATGATTTTGCAAACCAAGACATTTACTTGAACTCTATTCTCTTCTTTCTTTTTTTTTGTATTTTTCCTTTGCTCTAGCTTGTTGACTAATTCTAGTTTTTACTAAACCCATAAATATGGCACTATGACAAATTGCTAGTGATGTTCCTCATTACTAAGTCATTTTGGATAACAGCATCTGCCAAATGAATAAATATAAACATAATAAAACCAGTACCTTTTTTCTGATTTGTTTGCAACTGTTCTCGTAGTCACGTCTCGCCTCAGGGTAAATCTTAGCGTTGTGCTTTTCCATGAAAAACGTTACATCCTTCAAATACGCACTCTCCTGCTCGCTCTGTGAATGAATCCGCTCCCTGGAAATGAAAAGAAATAACACACAGATGTTACTACATTGGCTCAATCCTTCGCAGTGCATTTTCATGTCCCCATTTAGATATTTTGTATAGAATATAATACTGTTTTTTGTGTGTAATCCTGTTCATGACATCACTTTTGGTGGGAAAACAGTGTAAACATCATTGTCTATTCAGCATTTTCTAAAGTTAAAAGGTATATCCTAAAAAGAATGATCCGATTTAAATTGTCAGGAACTGGTAAACTGGCCAGCCCTTAAAAAAAACAAAACTCTACTTTTGTGTGATTGTTTGTGTGTGTTACCTTTCAGTATCATACTCTGAGCGAAGTTCTTCGAGTTTGTTGTTGAAGTCGAGTGCTTGTTTTTCCAGCCGAAGCACATGACGCTTTAACAGACTGTCCATGCTCTGCTGATGAGAAGTGCTTGACAGCTCTGACCGCCGCTCCATCTTCGACAGCTCATCCACCATGCTCTGTAAAACATACACACATTTGTTACTCCAAGGCTCTGTAATGAAAGTTATAGAAGTAAAACTGAGAGTCAAGTATATATATATATATGTTATATATGTAGTCACCTTAATGAGGTTGCCTTGGTCTCTTTGGGCTCTCTCAAAGCTCTGGCTGAGGTTTGAGCTGTCATCTCGGGAAGAGCCGGGGATAGGAGGGAGCTTGACACACTGCCCTCGGCTGGACATCCGGGACCTTTCTCTCAGCACAATTGTGTTACGGAAACTGCGAGTGATCTCCTGTTGATACATAAGAATAAGAAAACACCTTAATACAATGCTCAACATATGAACGCAAGCTTAGTGTTAATAATGACCGATGATGGTTGAAAAAACACAGTGAATCCTATGATAGACTTCTTACTTACCCTCTTCATCTCAATTTCTTCTGGGTGTTGTTGAGGCGCTGGTCGTTGTCTCAGTCTAGGAAGTGGCTGAGGTCGCACTGCAGACGGTGGTTGAGGTCGCAGTTTAGACGGTGGTTGAGGCCGCAGTTTACATGGTGGTAGAGGTTGCAGTGTAGGCATGTCCGAACCACTCTTACGTTCCAGGGGCCTGAGCGTGCGAAATGTTTTGCTAGTCATGATGGAAAATAGTACGTTGATCCAAAATCCGACAGGTCAAATTTTATGATCTGAAACCGTACACAGCTGTAATGTGCAATTCAACTGTTCAAAAACAGACCCAAACAGATATAAAATTGCACACTAATCAATAGCTGTAGACTATAAAACTGCACACTAACAGACTATGAAACTGCACTCTAATCAACAACTGTAGACTGAAGACAACAAGTCACGAGTTTCAGTAGAGGTTTGCAGCGTCTAGTACTGTGACGTGTCGAATAGAATGCATTCCGATGACGTCCGGCAGCAGCAGTGCGTCAGAGCCGCAGAAATTCAAGGTTATTGTTTTGATTTAAAAACTTTAAGAGAGAATGACCTGTCAGCACAATAAGTCTATGAGAGGAATGTAGATAAGGCTACTTGTAGTAATAATACATAGCCTATATATTTTGCGTCACTAAACTGTAGAGCATCAGCCACAAGTTTCTGCACGGCCCTAACTAACTAACTAACCCAAAGCATATAACGTTAATGTATTATTCTGTCACGTTATACGATGAAGGTTGAGTCCAACAATAATTCAGTTTACTGACTTTCTCTCACCGACGACGTCTTGTTGAGCTTTTCTATTACATCGAGACGAGCTCTGATTCCGACTGATCTTACTTTAACTTCCGTTGCTCGTGTCTCCCGTGATCATGATAAATGTTTTGCCTTGGAAAACCATTAACGTTAGCCTATAAAGCATACGCCTACAATTTGGCGCGTTGAGTCAGAATGTCAATAAGGAATAGAAATACACAAACAATGACATAAAAAGTAAATAAATATGAAATAATACAAATGCTAAAAAATAACGTCTGATAACATGAAGGTTCGGATCCGACTCAGATAATAATATTGTCACTCGCACAATGTCAGTACTGTGACTGTCTAATGTATAATATCAAAATAAAAGCCCTCTAACAGCTGTTTTGTCGATCAAACCAGATTGGTATAAAAACTAAGAAAACTCAGCATTCCCTGCGCTGACCAATTTCCCTCCAGATTGATATACCCCTCCTCAGAGTCAGAAATAACCACAAATACATCCAAAAATATTTTGCTACAAATTACAAATACTTGATCATCAAATGTATCAAAATAAAATACAAAATTGTTTCACCATTTTATCATCAAATGGCCTGTGTTATTGGCTCCGTAACATGCATAAGCTAATTATATTTGACTGAATGCCTGCGTTGAAATATTTGACTTTATACTCCGAACACTATGAACATTATGAACTAACATTATGAACACTAACGAGGTGAAGATAGGTGACTCAGATGATAAAGACGATGAACAGGTGGATGATTGAGGGACTGAGATCAGGTGTGGAAACAAGAGGATCCTGGGAAGTTTTTTTTAATTTTTTTTTTTATTAATGCCAAGGTATCAAAAATACAATTAAATTACAACAATATACAAATTGCACATAGGAGAAATAATGAAAACAATACAGCACATATGCATATAGCCATAATATACATACAAAAAATAAAAATAAATAAAACAGAACAGAATGCATTAATAAATTAAATTAAAAAGTTCAAACAAGTTTATGGTCTTAAGAGCTTTAAGATTCTTGGATGATGAGATACTTTGGATGTATTGCTGAACCTCTCTACTAAAAACAATGAATAAGGGATTCTGCTGCGTAAATTTACTACGGTGAATGTGAAATTTTGCAAGGAATAACAACAAATTAATAATATAATACTCATTAAATTTAGCTTTTTCTATATTAAAGAAGCCAAACAGTACATCCTTAAAGAGCAAGGAAAAACCCGGAAGCACATTGTGTTTAATGAAATTAGAAAATTCAACCCAAAATAACTGTGTATGAGGACAGTCCCAGAATATATGGAGAGCAGTCTCGTCAGGTGCGCCACAAAAAGAACACTTAGTGTCTAGATCTGACTTAAATTCTTTTCAAAAAGGCTTTAGCAGGGTAACACTTGTGTAATAATTTAAATGAAATTTCTCTAATCTTGTTAGTTATTATATATTTCAAAGGCAGAGTCCATACTTTTTTCCAATCAATATGATCAAATAAATTCATCCAATTTGAAGCCACATATGGAATTGTTACAAGCTCTTTTTGAAAGAGTGATCTAATTCTAATATTAAGTGATGATTTATTTGACAGAAAGCATAATTTTCCTATTGGGTGTTCAAATGGGTTTAACTGAGGAAAAGTGTCAGATGATCTAACAAAGTCCTTTAGAAGCATAACAACTCCATTAGGAATCGCGTCCATTACAATGGAAAATTCCTTGGGAGTTACTGGGAAATTGAATTTACATAAAAACTCTTCATAATTTAAAATATATCCTTCAGAATTCAGTAACTGGGAAACAGTCAACACATTTTTCTCAAACCAATTACTAAAAAACAAAGATTTCTTCTTATATACAATATTTTGATTGTTCCAAATGAAGTAACGGTGAGGGGAAAAATTGTGTTTAAAGATTAAAGACCATGCAAGTAATGCTTGCTTGTGGAACTTTGATAAGTTGTAAGGGACTCTAGCAATATTATAATTGCACACCAATAAGAAAGGGAGACCACCTAATTTCGAAAAATAGTAATTAGGGATAAAGTTCCAGATTGAATTTGGATTACATAAAAAATGTCTAAGCCAGTTAATTTTAAAAGTGTTGTTCAGAGATAAGAAATCCAAAAAATTTAAGCCGCCTTTATCATACGTATTCATGATTACTGACTTCTTAACATAATGTATTTTGTTCTTCCAAATGAAATTGAAGAGAATTTTATCAACTGACCTACACATTTTGTTGTCCACATTTAGAGAGAGTGCAGGGTATGTTAACCTGGAAATGCCCTCCGCCTTAGCAAGCAGTGCTCTGCCTCTCAAGGTCAAGTCTCTCTGCAACCATAGATTAAATCTTCTTTGGGCTTTAACTATAACAGGGTCAAAATTCAAGGTACATCTGTTAACTTGATCTTTACTGACCACAATGCCTAAATAAGTAACTACAGATTTAACTGGAATATTATAAAAGGAGGGTGTTGTGCAATCTTTAATAGACATTAACTCACATTTACTTAAGTTTAGATTAAGTCCTGAAGCTTTAGAGAATAGATTTATACAATTAATTGCCAATGGGATTTGGGAAGCATCTCTTAAAAATAAGGTGGTGTCATCCACTAATTGACTGATAAAAACTTCTCTATCTGCTATATGGATAATACCGCTTTCACAGATGAATGTTGAGAGTAGCTGCACACAAATTAAAAATAAATAGGGGGAAATGGGGCATCCTTGTCTGACTCCTCTAGACAAACTAAACCTTGGGGATGTGCCACTCTTTAATTTAATCGAACAGCTTCCATTATTGTAAAGAGTTTTGATTACTTTGCAAAATTTCTCCCCAAAACCAAATCTATGTAATGACTTAATAATGAATTGGTGCTCTAAAGAATCGAACGCCTTATAAAAATCTAAAAAAAGAATAAAGCTGTCCTCCTGTATCAATTCTGAATAATCTAAAAGATCAAGAACTAACCTTATATTATTAACAATATGTCTATTAGTCATGAAACCAGATTGCGTCTCATCTATTACAGAATCCAAAACAGATTTTAATCTTTTAGCAAACAAAAGAGCTACAATTTTATAATCATTGTTGAGCAGAGATACAGGACGCCAATTGTCAATTAAAAGTAGATCTTTTTTTGGGTTTTGGAATTAAAGTAATTAATCCTTGAGTGAGAGTTGGGGGGAGAGTCTCATTCTGTATACTTTCTTCAAAAACCTTAAGCAAAAAAGGGGATAACTCTTCAGAAAATTGTTTGTAGAATTCTGCGCTTAGCCCGTCAGTTCCGAGGATCCTGGGAAGTGTCGTGAAAGACAGCTGCAGGATGACGTCTTTACTGTCTTTCTGGGTCTTGAAAGTGGTATTTGCGTATAGACGGTCAATGGAGGAACAGAAATCATAAAAAAGTGTTTCATCGTGTGTTCTGAAGATGAACGAAAGTTTTATGGGTTTGGAACGACATGAGGATGAGTAATACTTTTAATTTTGGGGTGAACTAACTCTTTAAAACTGCAAATAGTTCCTTTTCAAATAAATGATTAGGGGAGAGCGGGGCACAACCTAACGCATTTTGGTTTTGGCTCAGTTAATTAAAAAAAATAATTAGGTTAGATTATTTTTTTTTATTTTTTTTACACAAGCAACATACACATCTCTGCTACAAATGACCACTTAAAGTTTGTTAGTTGTAACACTTGTGTGTAACACACTTAATTCAGTACAATTTTATTTGAATAGTTTACAGACAGTAAACTATACTGTATAGTTTAGTTGTATACTGATACAGACAGACAGGCATACTAATAAGACCATTTTGCAAGATGTAAACAACACTGGTCCAGAATACTTCCTGTTTCAGTTTGTAACTGTTTTCTTTATTTCACATGTAAAGAAAACATCTTAAAGATGTTTGTTTAACTTTTTGATTCAGTTTTATATGTTCTGTTGGTTGTAAAAAGCGGCTACTGGCATTTTCACACAGACATACTGATGCAGACAGACAGACATACTGATATACATACACAGACACACTGAGACAGACAGACATATTGAGAGACAGACATTTTCTGATGACATAAACACGTCAATTTCGCAAAAACTCCCGTTTATCGCAAAAAAGTTTTTCAGCTCGCATGAGGAGGTTTTTCAGGCAATTCGAAAAAGGATTTTTTCGCAAAACTGCAATGGAAACGGATTTTGCCCCATAAACCCACTCCTAAACCTACAACTCCACCCCTCAGATCCGACTGATCTCGTGTACTGCAATGAGGTGCTGTTGTAAAAGTGTCATAAAAGGAGTCTATTTGACTTGTACACTATATTCCAAGTCTTCTGGATCCACACAATAGATTTACATTTACTGACTGAAAAGTATTTGCTAAAAGCTCTCAAATTTCATGCATATGTATTTAAACGTGGAGCATCAAGACTGCATAAAAGAGTGGCTCACACATTCTGCCAATCCACGGAAGAAAGCAAGTTTTTAAACAACATGAGGATGGGTAAATAATGACAGTGTTTAATTGGTTCATTATTCTTCTCTGGAGCATGGCAGTATGAAATAGTGTTATTGAACCTAAAGGGATGTACATTTATAAGTATGTATATTTGTAGCTGGCATTATATATTTATACACAAAGGATGATTTTTTGTTGTTGATGGAATCGGGTATTTTCCCCTGCTATAAGTCCACAGCGAATTTAACACGATGAAAGAAGTAACTTGTGTACGACAGCTGTTTTTCCTTCTGTCCGGCAGTGAGTGCGTTGAAATGAAAATAT